TATTTGTCTTTCTGTGATTGACTTATTTCACTCAGTGTAATGTCCTCCAAGTTAATCTACTTTATGTGGTGTTTTGCAGATTCTCTGTTACTACCAGCCACTCCTCGGAAGGAAGATGGGGCAATCTACTTCCGTAGTGATACTGCCTCGGAAACCCAAGGAGGGGTCGCTATGAGTTGGGTCCGATTCAATGGCACACAACAACAACAACAACAACAACAACAACAGAAATTAAATAACAACTTTCAGCTTATCAAAATACAGAATGAAACAAGCTAAATAAATCTATATAGCAAAGATCAGGGGGGAAAAAAGAAACAGAAGGCAAAACAAATAACTCAGTCTCTCCACCAAGTTAGTATCTTGAAAAAGAGACCATTTTGAGTTTAAAAAATAAAAAATAAAAGATGTAGGGAAGCAGCTGGAATATGTGATCCTAAAATGAACAAACCAAGTAAAAGAGTATTTTGGGAACAAATATGGGTATGAGTGGTACTAGATAATATTAAGAAATTATTGCTAATTTTACCATATACAATAAAAATTGTTTAAGGTATTTAAAATATATTCCTGTATTTTAGGGATGTGTCCTGAAGTTTTTAGGAGTAAAATGTCATTATGGCTCTAACCTCCAAAAACAGAATGAGAAATAAAGAAAAAAATAACTTTTTTCCCTTTCCTGTTTGTAATACTGCACTGAATTTCCCAATTTTGGGCAATGAGTTGAATTGAAGAGAAAAGACAAGAGATATCAAACTAGCATTTAGAACATTTTCCTTCAAATATTTTCAAGGATAGAATAGCATCTCAGTGTGGGAATGAGGGAACCAGTGTTATGTACAACAGCTTAAAGAGTTGGGAAGCAATGAGTAACAGACCAGTTCAAAAGTGTGTGATTATCCCAGTGAATTCCATGATGCCAGAGAGAGTACGTGTCTCATACTGATGGAGAAAGGAGAGGGCTCAACCTTTACTTACCTGCTGGGCCTGCTCTCCTGCCCCTCCTGCTTAGGGGTTCCTGTACCTCGCTGAACCATGGCTCTTTCCCTTCCTCCAGCTGAGAGATCAGAACTGGTTTGGAAGCAGGTGACACCGCTTGAAGGTAAGAAAACAAAATGATGAGCAGAGTCACAGATGTCTCTTTCAATCTGTGGATGCAAGCACAGCAGAGGAGATAAGGAGAGTAATTACTGGGTGGGCTATGCAAAAGTATCTAGAAAAGGTGAAGGGAACTTAAAGAGTAGCCTCAGGATAGTGCTCTCAGGAAGCCTGAGACACATGGGAGCCAGATCTTTATTTAAGGGGAAACAAGATTTCCTATCTTCTTTGTTATAGGATGTAAACTTCCCATGAGGAAACAGACACATGGCTCCTAAAAGAAGCTACCAGTGGAAGACAAAGGGGCTGAGGTTCCCCACCATAATTTAAAAGATGAGACACTAAGGGTACCAAGAAGCTCAACTCCTTCTGAGTTGAGAGGATCATCTCTGCAGCAGGTGGGAAAGGAAGGATCTCTCTCCACAGTTCACAGTCATTTCGAGGTTGAGCCACTTAGAGTCCAAACCCCAGAAGCCAGCACTCAGTTAATAATTATAAGAGACCACTCCAGCCTCTGAAGGCCCAGGCAGAGACCAAAGGCAGAGAAGTCTTACCTAGGAAGGCCACAGCCTCATAGTTCTCCAGCATCACATCTCTGTACAAGGTCTTCTGAGCAGGCACCAGGCTGGCCCATTCCTTCTGGGTGAAGTACACAGCCACATCCTTGAAGGTCACTGATTCCTGAAATGACAAGGCCCTGCCATCTCAGAAGCACTTACCCTCAGGCCTTTGGTTCTACACAGATTTGGTCCTGAGTTCCTAGTCTGGTATAAAGGTTTATGTGTGAAATTGAAAAGGTGTGGAAGAAGAAGACATAAAGAGTTAAGGGAGCCATCCAAAGTTCAACATGCTTTCTCAGTTGGTAGCTCCAATCTAATGCAGCTGGGACCTCCTGTGGACATGTCACCTAGAGGATAACTGCTGGCCTTGGGCCTGAGCATGAATACATTCATGGAAGGAGAACTTACCCCGGGTATAACCATCTATATGTATTGGTTTATGTAGCTCAGTGGCAATATAAATATAGCGACTATGTGGGCTGCCCCATGTAACCATGCCATCGACTTTCACTTCACCCTATTTGTGGTTTTCCACCCACTGCATCTAGCAAATAGATTGTTGTTGTTGTTGTTGGGTGCCATGGAGTCCATTCCAACTCACAGTAATCTTATGTACAACAAAACACTTCCTAGTCACGCACCATCCTCACAATCGTTGTCACATTTGAGCCCCTTGTTGCAGCCACTGTGTCGATCCATTTTGTTAAGGATCTTCCTCTTTATCACTGGCCCTCTACTTTACCAAGCATGATGTCCTTCTCCAGGGAATGGTCCCTCCTGATAACAAGTCCAAAGTATGTGAGGTGAAATCTTCCCATCCTCACTTCTAAGGAGCATTCTGGCTGTACTTCTTCCAAGGCAGATTGTTGGTTCTTCTGCATGGCATATTTAATATTCTTTTGCCAACACCATGCAGGGAAAAGGTAGTCCTTGTAATGAGTTTTAAGATTCTAAGCAATCAGGCCAGCCCTGCCCCCTAACCATGTTCTCACCTCCTATTACAACTCTCCTCACTTTCTCTATCTGAGCTGCACTCGCTCTTGGATTGTATCTGCTGTTCCCTCTGGGCAAAACACTCTTTTTCTCAGATATTGCCATGAAATGTTCTCTCACATCCCTCAGGCTTTGCTCAAATATTACTTTCTCAGTGAGGCCTTACCCTGATAAGCCTTTAAAACAGCAAAGCCTCCTCCCCAATACTTCCCAACCCCCTTTCCTTCAAACATATTGTGTAATTTACCCCTTTGGCTTATTCTTTCTCCCCAACTAAAACATAAACTCCATCACAGCCTATTCACTGCTCTATTTCTAGCATCTGGCACTTAGGAAGCACTTGTGAAATATCTATGGAATGAATAAATGTCTTAGACACAAGGAGGCATTACTGTGTCAGGATATGCCCACACCAATATCTTGATTCACCAACAGATTTTCTGTAGACTTTGTGTGGTCACACCACAGAAACAGAAAAGACCTCCCCCGCAACCAAAATTTGGTTCAGATGTTGCAACTGATGATACACTTGCACCAAGTGGGTATGAAACAGCTTATTACTCACATATAATGAGGCTTTCTAGGAGAGCAAGGTAGGCTCCCAAACTGATCCAAATGGCTTGAGAGGACAGGGAAAGGGGACTGACCTGGGATTTTATGATGGGTGGTAGGTGGTGGTGGTGGATGGAGGTGAAGTGAGAGTTTCTGTGCTTGGGTTAGAGCTTGCCTGGTTTGAACTTCCCACTGCCACCAATAAAGGAAGCATTCAAGTTTTCTTATCAGCTTGCCCAGATGTGGGGTAGATTTGGAAGGAGTGAAAGCTGTCGGCAGCCAAACATCAAAACTGGAGTCAGATTCTTTATTACACTATGCAATACATGGTATAGTCTCACCATTTCCTGGTTATGTGGCTGCTGGACTATAAAAATGGTGTGGGGCAGTATCTGACCTCCTCTAACTTCCAAGGGGAAAGGAAAATCACCATCAGCCTCAACAGTGTAAGGCTGGATCCTATGATGCAGAGCTCAGATATACCTCCACCTTCCAAACTTTTTACCAATTCTCACAACAACTGACCCTCCTACAATACTCTCTACTTTTCTGCTGGGCTCAGTAATTCACTGAAATGGCCACACAGAACTCACAGACAATATTCATAATTATGGGGTTTATTAGAGAAGTTACCAAGTTATAATGCAGGATCAGAAACAACTCAGAATACAGGGCCTCAATCAGGACGGCCTCTTCTCAGCAGTGATTGCAGGCACACCTCTCTCTGGCCCTCAGCCTCTCGGCCTCAGGCCCCTTGGCTGCTGCCCTACTTGGGCAAGTATTACAAAGCTCTTCTAGCTCTGTCGATAAATGTCCAAAAGCCTGCAGCCCAAAGGTACTCAGCTTTCTTGCTCCGTTTGCTGGGAAACCCACTGCCCTATCTCGTGTGGGTCTCTTGGTTCTGCTGCCTCTGCTGCCACCATTTCTCTGCCGCTGCTTCTCATCTTCTCACCATCTCTGGTGTCACAGCTCTCTATCTCCTGGATCAAGGAGGTTCAGTGTAGGGATCTTGGGTCCAAAGGATGTGTGCTCTGCTCCTGGCTTTTCTTTCTTGATGGTAGTGAGATCACCCATTTCCACCTCTGGGATGGCTATTTTTAAGCCTAAAAAACCAAAACCAAACCCACTGCCACTGAGTCGATTCTGACTCATAGCAACCCCCAGTGGGTTTCTGAGGTGGTAAATCTTTATGGAAGTTGATTGCCCAGTCTTGCTTCCACAGAGTGGCTGGTGGGTTTGAACCACCAACCTTCTGGTTAGCAGTCAAATGCCTTAGGTACTATACTACCAGAGCTCCATTTTAAGCCTAATAGGATGGTAAAACTGACTAATCTCCATATTAGGGTTCCATATTTTATTTGCATGGTCTCACCTCCATAAGGGTGCCATGCTACATTATTTGCAAGCCATCCAATACCTCTGGTGGGCCACAAGCACCTCACATATGCATAGTCATACACAGTCATCTAGTGGGAGTTACAAAGACTATGGCTAAAAGGGCCATATTAAGTATTTCACTGCACTGCACAGACACAGAGCAGTAAGTATCCAGGAATTCACACTCACCCACCAACCTCACATTCTCCACTCATCCCAGTGCCAAACATGAAGGCAAAATCAGAGGCTAGAACATTTGAAGACTCATTAAATGTTCCCAAACATCAATGGAATCACTTCTCTCTACATTCCTTTTTGACCTATATATACTGCCAAAGTGAAAACCCAAGCTTATCACTTCCCTACTCAAATAGGCTCATTTTACAACTACTCACTCAAGAATTCAGAGCTCCACATCACTAAATTCACTCTCCAACCTTGCCTCACCCTCCCTCCCTGCACAAATATTGCCCTACAGCCACACTCAAGTGTTGTCTGTGCTGTGAATATGCCCTGCTCATGCCTGCTCTGTCTGTCTGTAATGCCTACCTGCCCTTCCTCCTTTGCTGCCCATTTCCTCACTCTCTAAACAGAACCTGCCCTTTGGAATCCCAGCTCAAATTTTACCTCCTCCTTGAAACTTTACCAAAATGTTCAACTAAGTAACACACTTCCCCTAAATAAACACCTTGTAAACTCTTCACTACCACTTACAGCAACCTTCTTACAATTCCATATATGTCAGATATCTGGTGTCTTTCTGACTCTAAAACAGACTCATAGCTAACCTTCAAAATCTGTTTTTTTTCCCCTTGTTTATAAAGATCAAATGGCAAAAATCCCTGAAATTTAACTGGACACATGGATATCCATTATAAAGGCATTTCCCAGATGTCCTTGCAGCCAGGTATGACCATAGAATGTGAAAAGAAATGACCTCATGACTAACTTCTGGTGGTAGCAATGCTTTGGCAGTGGTGAGCCATCTTGGATACACATATCCCTGTTTAAAACATTCCAAAGGCTACCTAGAACAAAATTCAGTTATTACCATGGCCTCCTAGGCTCTATATGACCTGATCTCTGGCTCTCTCTTTGATGTTATTTCCTCCCATACTCTGAACATATCCCCTCATCACTGCTACCTCCCTAGTTCCTTCTTTATTGTTGTTGTTGTTGTTATGTGCCGTCGAGTCAGACCCGACTCATAGCGACCCCTCCTTGGGTTTCTGAGGCAGTATCACTACGGAAGTAGACTGCCCCATCTTCCTTCCGAGGAGTGGCTGGTGGGTTTGAACCACCAGCCTTCTGGTTAGCAGTCAAATGCCTTAGGCACTATGCCACCAGAGTTCCCTCCTTCTTTATTAACACACTCTAAACATGTTTCCCCCTACCTCAGGGATGTAGTATTTGCTATTTTCTTTGCCAGGAATGGTATGCTCGTAAATATCAGCATATCTTGATCCCTATTTCACTCTGGTCCCTATTCAAATGTCCCCTCATCAAGAGACTGCTCCCATCTTTCCCTCTTCCTCCTTCTGCATTTTATTTCCCCTTATAGAATTTATCATTGTTGTTGCTGTGTGCCATCAATTCAAACTCACAGTGACCCTACAGGACAGAGCAGAATTGCCCCATAGAGTTTCCAAGGCTGTAATCTTTAGAGAAGTAGGTCTTGATTCCTCATCATTACTTGTACATTGTGGGGTTCTCCCACATTTCAGTGTTATACCAATATACTGAAATACTTGTTTGGTAAGAGAATAAAGGAATGGGTTTCTGTTTAACCAGTTCACAGCTGTCCTTCATTTATTAGCACATCCTAAGGGTATTTCTTTCCACTGCAACCCAACTCCCATTCTGGCAGGCATACTTCTCAGCAGCTACCTCATCTTACCTGGGACCTTTCAGAGCTCATCCTACTGGTGAATACAGACAGATACATCTTCACCTTCATACACAAGTTCAACAAAGTACCCGCATTAGCTTATCTCAAAACTTTAGGTAGATAGATGACTGAAGAAATCAAAGCTTACCTGAGGCCTGGCTATAAAGGACATAGCTGTCAACATCTGGAGTCTTTAGTTTCTCTCATGGGAAAAGGCACTATTCTCAGGAGCTGAAAGCAGAAAAAGATATATCAGCAAGACTGAACTGACCATAATGCACACACTGAACCTCTGCTCCAGGTTCCACTGTAATGTTTACCATTGTTCATATTGGCAGTACCATTCTTTGCTCATAAGAAGAGATTAACATATACAGGAGAACAAAGAGATGAAACAGAGGTCATTCCAGGAAGATGATTCTTAAGCAAGAAAATTGTACGTTCCATGGATCCAAAGGTGACATAACAGAAAGTAATCAGAAAGGGAGACTCAGGGAGATGATGCAGAGAGGACTTATGAACCAAGAGGAAAATGGAGACTCAAACTGTGGATAAAGTTCCGTAAAATCTACAAAATTGTTGTTGTCGTTATGTGCCATCAAGTCAAACCCGACTCATAGCGACCCCTCCTTGGGTTTCCGAGGCAGTATCACTACGGAAGTAGGATTGCCCAACCTTCCTTCCGAGAAGTGGCTGGTGGGTTTGAACCACCAGCCGTCTGGTTAGCGGGCAAGTGATTTAGCCACTATGCTACCAGAGCTCCCAATCTACAAAATAGAGATAGGAAAGAGGTGCTTATTAGATATGCACTCAAACGCTGGAAGACCCTAGGCAAAGTCCCTAACTCTCAAGTCTTCCTGTATAGAAAAAAAGCATTAGCCTAGCATTAGACAACTTCTAAAGTCCCTTTAAGCAACAAAAGTCTATGATTCAAAGGAACTAAACCAAAACATGATTTGGAAACTTTTCGTCAATAAGATTTTGATAACCCTCAGACACTGTTTTTCTCTAAACCGCATAGATTGATTTTAAGATGCTTCATTAATTTTATAGCTCTGGCAGTAGAAGGGGGGAAATGAGTCTAAAAAGAGAAAATAGCAGTCATGTTAAAGTTATAAATCAAGTTATAAGGCATATCTCAAATATTACAGTATTATAATAGTAAACTATTTCCAAATCCCACTCTGTGTTCATTACTGAGAAACAGTGATTCTATCCTTCAGTGACTTGATTCTGTAAGATACATCCATTAAAGACAATGCCTGCAATACAATATCTACTGCTGGTTAGACCAGAGACCAATCAGCATAACTTTGCAAGTCTTAGGAGATCTTTAAGCCTTGACTGCATTTGTTTAAGCCAAAACAGATGCCATCACCACACTGTTCTTTCCCATATATCAATCATGAACAGACACACAAAAATCTACAATCCAATCACAGTTCTGCAATTTTACAAAGTCCATGACATTATGACTCTGAAGGCATTTCCAGAAGGTAGAGACGCTATAGCATGTGGGTTACAGGAAAAATTGCCAGATAATGCCAGAAATCACATCTTTACAAGTAGAAGCACTCTAATGAGAACAAATAGTTAAAAGTATGAATTGAAAGAAAAAAAAGGTATGAATTGAAGGACAGGAAATTCTTCACAGGTATTACTGCTAATTTAATGGAAGGCTTCTATTCAATATTAACACAAGCAGTAATTCCTGTAAATAAATAGGTACTTCGAAATGAGTGGTCTATTTCTCTTAAACTGAGAACCTACTGAATCTTTGTACCTACTTGTCCTATACAATGGATACTGCATAGATGGGAAAACTCAAAACAAGAGGTGTTCGGAAAGGTCAGATCAAGAGATCGAGCTGTTGAAAAGCATATACTTAGAAAGTATTAAAGTTCACTATGACTTATCTGGAACCTGTAGAAACAAGGGTTCCCCTAAACACTCCTTAGAACCAGATGCTAGCCATGAAAAACCGTAACCATTGAGCTGAGGTCCAAATGCTAAGTCTGTCGTAGACACATTACCTCACCAACAGAGACTGTGAAACCCAGTCAAGTCTGAATTCTTAGAGTTTTAATGTTATGATAGAAAGTAAAAGTAAGAGGATGGAATGAAGTGTGTAAATAGATGTGAAAAGAATTCTTTACCATCTCTCAGATTTGGAAAGGGCCATATGCTTAACATTCAGTATACATTTTAAGTGTGCGTGAAGGAAGATCTCAGGTTGAAAAAATTTCATTATGCTAATTCAAATCCTAGGGCTCTAAATCATTTATTTGGACTTCCCACTTTTTGGACTAACCAAGTTTCATCTTGAGTAAAAGTTCAATATTCCAATGTCCTGAACACTCTGAATGCTCAATAGACCATTAAAAGCTGGCGGTCAGGGCTAAAAGCCATGCCTCCTGAATCACGTGTTTACAAACTATTTTCTGCGGCTCCATTTAAAAAGGGGCGGGGGGCACTTGAGGGGAAAGGGCCAGGTGTTCCAGAAGTCCAGGGACAAGGGAAGGTGGTGGGATCACCAAGGAGCGTGTTCGCTGCCGCCAGACAGGCACAAAAAAGTGGAAAGTGGTAACATCGTGGGGATTCTTGCTCTCAGTATCATGTTGTCTCACACGACAAGAAATGGGGTGGGAAGGCAGCCGCAAGTGGCAGGGGTAGGAGCCTGTGGCTAGTTACCCCAGCCAGGACGTGCCCCCTTTCGTCGCTACCAAAGCGACCTGTCTCCCCTGAGTTCCTCCCCATCCTTCCCGGGCCAAGCCAGACCAGCTCACCATGGGCCACTGAAGCCACAGCAGCTTTTCAACGACCACAGTTGGCGGCCACCAAAGTCGGCTACTCAAAAACTCGCCCTAAGGAAATGCGTAATCACATTGACCTTCCGGACCGTAACCTTCCTCCGGTCCCTCTAGGAAGATTGGAGGATCTCACACCTCGATGGTTCCTTCTAATTTCCGGGAGTCCAAACTGAGGAACAACGAGGGGAGGCCGACCTTAAACTGGCTACTTTCTTCCTCCCAGCCTCCGATGCAGAGTCGAGACACCTGGACTGGGTTCTTTCTCCAGTACATCTCCTTGGAAAAGAGACAGGAATATAAAAAGTGAGCAAGAGGCGGGGCCGTTTGTTCCACTGGATACTGGCCCCACAGCGACGCCTATATCGGCCTCTTCTTGGAGACCAAGCCTGCCCCTGCCTGCCAAGTCCAGCTCTTGCCCAGCTACCCTCCCTCAGGGCACAAAAAAGAAATCAGAGACCAGACAGGGAAATTTGAATGGGCCTGAGGGATTTGCCTGAGCAATTATTTAAGGTGGCATAAAAGGTTAAGCACCTAAGTTTGACATCTGGAACCCCCTAGAGGCACCTTGGAAGAACGGCCTGGTGATCTGCTTCCAAAAAGTCAAAAAACTTTTGAAAACACACATGGTATCATCATGAGTCAGATTGTCTGGAGGGCCACTGGTTTGGGATATATACATACAGGTATATATAAATTTGGGGGGAGTTGGTTAATTTTTTTTTAATTAATTGTGTTTCTGTATATTAGAGTGAAAACTGTAATTCAAACACGAATATTATTTACAGTGGCTTCTACATACAAAAAATACTTAGGAGTATGACCAAAGATATGCAAGATCTGTATATAAAAGTTACAAAATTAAGATTCAATGATTTTGTGATGTCAGTTATTCACAATTTTATCTACAGACTCAACAAAAATTCAACCAAAACCCCAGCAGGGTTTTTTGTAAAAATTGACAAATGGATTAAAAAATTTATATGAAATGCAAAAGAACAAGAAAATCCAAAATAAAACTGGAGAATTTACATTACTTGTTCAAGAAGTATTATAAAATTATAGTAGTGAAGATAGTGTTGTCTTGACCTTGTGACAAAAAAAATCAGTAAGTCAAGAAATAGATTCATATATTGATTTTTAACATTAGTGCCAGAACAATTCAATGGGGAAAGAATAACCTGTTGGAAAAATGGTGCTGGAATACTTGGATAGCTGTATACAAAAAATGAATCTTAACCCTTTCTTAACACCTTATTACAAAAAGTAACTTGAATCATAGATTTAAGTGTGTAAGTTAAAACTATAAAACATTTGGAGAAAATTTTAATGACCTTAGGTATGGCAAAGATTTCTTTAAAACTACATAAAAGACAAACTGTTGTTGTTGCTGTTAGGTGCTGTTGAGTTGGCTCCGACTCACAGTGACCCTATGAACAACAGAACGAAACACTGCCCGGTCCTGCGCCAGCCTCACACAATCCTTGCTATACTTGAGCCCATTATTGCAGCCACTGTGTCAACCCATCTCATTGAGGGCATTCTCCTTTTTTGCTGACTCTCCACTTTACTAAGCATGATATCTTTCTCCAGGGAATGGTCCCTTCTGACCACATGATCAAAGTAGGTGAGATGAAGTCTGGCCATTCTTATTTCTAAGGAGCATTCTGGCTGCACTTCTTTCAGGACAGATTTGTTCATTCTTCTGCCAGTCCTTAGTACTTTCAGTATTCTTCACCATACCACAATTCAATAGCATCAACTCTTCTGTCTTCTTTACTTATAGTCCAGCTTTCACATGCATATGAGGCCATTGAAAATACCATCACTTGGGTTGTTGTTGTTATGTGCCGTTGAGTCAAACCCGACTCATAGCGACCCCTCCTTGGGTTTCCGAGGCAGTATCACTACGGAAGTAGGATTGCCCAACCTTCCTTCCGAGGAGTGGCTGGTGGGTTTGAACCGCCAGCCGTCTGGTTAGCAGGCAAGTGTCTTAGCCACTATGCTACCAGAGCTCCCTCACTTGGGTTAGGCATCTTCAAAGAGACATCTTAGCAAAGAGCTTTAAAGAAGTCTTTTGCAGCCAATTTGCCTAGTGCTATATGACGTCTGATTTCTTGACTGCTGCTTCCATGGGTGTTGATTGTGGAAACAAGTAATATGAAATCGTTAACAACTTGAATAATTTATCCATTTATCAGGATGCTGCTTACTGGTCCAGTTGTGAGGATTTTTCTTTTTATGTTAGGTTAACCCATACTGCAGACTGTAGTCTTTAATCTTCATCAGTAAGTGCTTCAAGTCATCTTCGCTTTCAACAAGCCAAGTTGCGTTGTCTGCATATTGCAGGTTGTTAGTGAGTCTTTCTCCAATCCTG